CAACGTTACCGCGTCCAGTGGGCAGGAGTCATTACAGGTCACTGTTCAACAAGCCGGGGTCGCGGCATTTCGTGCGTACACTGATATCCGTTTATCAGTTGGACAGATAGATCTATCCAACATCGTTCGATTTTTCACGAACGTGATTTTACGCAGAACCCGCGTGAAATCGCTATAAAAACGAATCGAGCTTGCGCACGTTTTGGTGAACGAAGAATCGACGTTATCGTTAATCAACGCATCGTAACACAGGGTTATATTGTCATTACGACGATACGTAAGCGAACGCGTGTTTTATTTTAACCTTAAAAAATAACCTCTTTGGATAAAAAAAGGTTTAAAAAGACGCCAAGTATAAGCGTCATCCAATCAAGAATTATATAATTTAATTATTTAGATATCTTTTACAAAAAAAGGTTTTATTTTCTCCCCCTCCCCCTCCAAAGTATCTTCTCTACAAAAGTAATGATATTATCAAATGGCGCCAACTAAACTGAATATTTATACAAACTAGATACTTTATTATTTTTTATATTATATTAATAATATTCATATACGGGGAGTATATGCTTTAACAATTACAAAGATTAACAATAATAAGTAATAATTTCATTTTTTTAGATCAATTTAACAAATTAAATTATTACTTTCTGTTGATTTTTGTAAATCTACCCCGCTGAAAACTAGTAAAAATTAAAATGCTGGAAAAAGTCTAGAAAACCTGGAAAAATCAGGGAAACATAGAACTTGATTTTGCTATACACCATGTTAAAACAATATAAATCAGTAAAATAAAACAAAAATTAATAAAATAGGTATTAAAATTAATATAACAGAGATAAATATCTAACCTAAATATACAGGGTGGACCATTTTAACCTTTAATGGAGAATAACTCGACCGGTAAGCGAAATAATACAAAAAGTTTTATACAAAAGTTGTTTCGTTTCGAGGGGGCCATAAGATGGTACCATTGGTTTGACCTTGAAGAATTATTTGAAGGTCACATAAAGGTCACACCAATTTTTTAAAATGGCGTCCCTTATTTTTTATTACATATTCTTGTAGCTGACCTCGAGAGCTTTCAAAAACGCTATAATAAAGTATTTTTATTAAGAACTTTTTGGGTTATTAAGGTTTGAAAGTTCCAATATTTTGACATAAATTACAAAATATCTTGTCAAATATTCATTTTTTATCATCTTACCTTAATGTCAAACCAATGGTATCATCTTATGGCCCCCTCGAAACCAAACAACTTTTGTATAAAACTTTTTTTATTATTTCGCTTACCGGTCGAGTTATTCTCCATTAAAGGTTAAAATGGTCCACCCTGTATATTTAATATAAATATATAATATACTAAGTATGACAAGATATAAATACAATATAATGTAATAAATTGTGTAATTAATATTTAATTATTAAAAATTCTATCCAAAATATAGGTACACAATTATCAAAAACACGTCCGTTATAGGTCCAAAACAGGTCCAAAATAGATCCAAAGTCGAATGTATTTTGGACGTCTTAGGGATGTTCAAAGTAGTGCATTTTGGATACCCTATGAACGTCCGATGGACATCCGACGGACCTTAAGTGGACGTACTGTGGACGACCGAATGTCCAGATGCGGCCGTCCATCGGACATCCTATGGACGTCCATGTGCTATCTGGGTTTGACGCTCGAATCCAGCGTCAAGCGTCAGCATGCCAAGATATTAACTAACGCTTGAATTGGACGACGAAACGAAAAATATCCGGAGTCACGCAAGTTTCAATAGTCCTTTCGAGGGGTAAATCGTTGAGGGCACTGTGGTGTACAGATTTGCGGCATTACTGGACGTTACTACACGAAAAGAATTATCTTATAAAATTTATCTTGAAAATTATGTAATCGTGGGACAACACGGCGTTTCAAAAAATGTTATGAATTTTTTGAAATTTTACTATTAAATATATTTAACAGTAGTTTTACTATTCACTATTAATGCCAAGATAATGAATAATACTCGAGTCGGACAAGAGGATCAAAACAATGTCGGCGAATAATGAAACATTATAACGACAATGACATCGATCTATGGTACGCATTATTTATTATTAGACTGCGGATTTTTATGCAGTAACATTTTTTTGGATTTGGGTAATAATAACAAAAGATCCTTACTGAACTAACGATTTTAAATTATTTAATAGTTGCATATTGAGATATGCAAAATAAATACAGATAATATGCACCTTATTTACAAAATTTTATATGTAATTAATGATTAGCAATCTTGAAAATGAAGGATATTTTATACATAAGCAAAACATACATAATAAATACACCAGGATTTTTATTTAGAATCTGTTGTATTTGTTCTGAAACTATTTGTCCACAAGATCCTGGAATCGCTTTGAAATTTTCAATACACGACCTTACTATTTCAATCGATTCGGTTAAAGGTAATCCTATATACTGATTCCAGTTTTGTCATTACTGTTGGAAGATTTTTGAAATGTGTTTTAATATAACAAATCTTTGACAAGCTGTGGATTTTGAAGCACATTCTTCGCTGAAATAATAGACATAGCATATTCTGAATTGAAAGACTCAATAACCTGTGATTAAATCAAAATTTTATTTTATTAAGTTGAATTATATTTTTAATTATTGGATAAAAAAATTAATGCATACTTCTCGAATACCGGCTAAATTATCTGCCTAAAAAAGTGCAGCTTCAAGCCACGTTCCCCATCTTGTCAAAATTGGTAGTATCAAGTGGTAATGGAAAATTTATCAATTTTGCTCGGTATTCTTCTATACGAAGCGGAGTTTTCAGAAATATTTTTTTTACTGAAGATATTAAAATATTAATTAAATTTTTTTTATTAAATAAAATAAATTTTTATTAAATAAAATTGTTTTAAATAAAAATTAAATAAAAAAAATAAAAAAAGAATATGTAAAATTTATGCAAAAATGCATTTTATGCAAATAATATGTTCGATTTATGCAAAATATTCAGTTATATGTTTTTGCATAAATATCCGCAGTCTATTTATTAGCCTGGGTCTACAATAAGTGCAGTAAGCCTTAAGCCGTAAGAAATTGATCAATCACAAGCGATTATTCTCCTCACTTTAGACTGTGACTGGTCAATTTTTTACGGCTTAAGGCTTACTACACCTATTGTAGACCCGGGCTTATACATCGAGTCTCATTATTGATAAGCGCTGAAATCTAGTTTACACGCAAGCAAGCGCGTATTGTTTCTTTCTTTTTAAACGAGTTTTGCTTGTAAATACGTTCGGAACTAACAATTTCAAAAACAAATATACTCTTCATTCCGAATAGAAATCATGATACCCTCCCATTAAATCTTCACAGTAATTGTGATTCCCTGCTGGAAATAATTTTACAAAATTTTACAAAACTATAAAATGTTATAAAAATTAACATAAAAATGCTATAATTGAAACACTTTTGTACATTTTTGTAATATTCTACAAGTGAGCAGATGTTTTAATTCTTTAGGATTTTGTTGATTCTCAAATTTTCAAAACTAGTAAAGTTTTGTACTAATTTTTACAAAATTGTACATTTTTATACCTACTATTTGCAATAATTTCTTGATTTGAGAACATTGTAATTTGTGATACTATTTCGTAGATATTTTACAATAAAATTAATGTTTCAACGAAGATATAAAAGTTTCTACAAATTGCTATTTTAAGTCAATTTTTGTAGTTAATTGTACACATTTTTTCCCACTAGGGTTGTCTCGCGGGAACGTATTACGGCGACGATATCGAAATGTATACAAGAAATACAAATAAACTCTCTCGTATATCTTTTAGCGTTTTCGACTGGACCAGGATTAATCGCTCCGGGAGCGATTAATGACGTCACGAGTTTTGTTTTAGGTTACTAGACAAATAACCTAAATGCAACCCATGTTCGACCCATACCATTGCGAATTGATCCATCAGTGCTAAGAAGCTACGTTAGATTACAATCAGGTTATACGTGCGTGTTTATTGTGGAACAAAGTATTCTTTGACGATAATAACGTGTAAGTGTACCAATAAACTTTTCGATTTTATCATAAAATTGACAAGAATATTGTAACTAGAACCTAACCCAGGTTCATAACCCATTTTCGGTCGAAGATATGTTCCTAGTATCTTCGGGTTAATCGCTCCGGGAGCGCTAAAACCCATGTCAGTTCCAGTCAGTCGAAAACGCTATTTGGAACAATCAGGCGGAAAAGAAGCACGAACCTCGTAGGCTGTGGTCAGGCTATCACTAAAAATATTTCAGGACCGGGCATAGGTGTAAGTAGCCAATTAAATTAATAAGTGAATCCATATACCGTATTCTTTCCAACTTATCCTGCGCGCCAGTTACATACCAGTCTTATAACAGCACGCGCGAGGGAAAGGGTCTCATCCAATTTAATTGGCTACTTACACCTATGCCCGGTCTTAAACGGCCTCTTCATTTTCTAATAGATTTTATATCTTAAGGACCTAAGTTAAAATTGTAGTATGTTTCAAAGTATTTTTCCTCTCTTTTATTTTAATAAAGATAGAAAGAGAAGAGAACCGCTTCGAAGCATTTGTAGCGGCTGCTTGACCGCAGCCGTAATCCTTGGCTGCGTTCAGCAGAAAAAGCTGCTTTGCAACTGCTGTAAAATTCGTGAATCTGATTGGCGTATTCTCTTCATCTTGAGTGAATTTAAGAGCATACGCGAATCAGATTCATGAACTTTACAACAGTTGTAAAGCAGCTTTTTCTGCTGAATGCAGCCAATTATTCGAAGAGATTACGTCTGTGATTACGTGGTCGGTTGACTAGCTCGACAAAAAATGCAAGCGCAGTAAGCCCCCCCCCCCCCTCCCCAACGTCTTATCCTGCCGCATGACCGACTGCCGACGGCCAGCAATCGAATTCGAATTTCATTTACCTTCAAATTCGCCGGTGTCTGCGACCACCGTGGTGAGTTTCTTCAGCTGGCTTAACGAGCTCATCTTCGCTTCCTTTGACTGAGGTTCGCTCATGGTCGCCGTGTGTATTTATGCGTGTGCACGTGTGGAGATGAACCGATTTCGACGTGTTACTCACGCGGACGCTCCGTGAGCACTGTGTGCGATATCTCGCAGTGTCGCTGTCGAGCGCGGCGATTGGCCGATCGATAGGGAGTTTCCAGGGAGGCCCGAGAGACATCCAATCGGCACGCGCGAGGGAAAGGGTCTCGTCCAATGAAACATCGCGACCTTGGCGGTAGGTCGGCCAATTGCCCGCCGACTCGCGCCGGAAAGCGAGATCTGAAAATGCGCGCGAGATACGAAGCGACTTTTCAACTCGGAACGCGAGATGAAATGAGCACTGAAGCTGTTCGATTCACACAAACGCAATGACAAATGACCTTCCTAGGCGGTTCATTGGTGTAACTGAACTCGATCGGCGAGATGAATCAATTAAACGAAACTTGATCTAATTACGGAAACCAAAATGAAGTAGCGTATTGTATTTTGTTGTGACGTGAAACTTGGCGACGTAATTTTACCATTGTCTTTTCAGTTTTTGTTTTCATATTGCAAATGGGAATAAAGTTTTGTTTACCTGTAATTATTTGAAGCAAGTACTTATTTTTAAAGCGTGTTTCCTGAAGGAAAAACGAAACGACATTGTACGGAAAAATTATCGTAAAAACTGTATTTTATTAAAATCTAATTAAATTAAGTACATAGTGCGAGTATAGTAACTTACTGGCCTATCGATACACTTTTGATCGAACGTATGGAAATGCGTTTTGCAGCTATATAAAAATAAGTTCGAAATAGTGTCGTTTATATCTACAACGAACAGATCAAACCATTACGGTGCGTAATTTCGATCTAGTGTCACTATATGTTTTGTTTCTTAGCTTCTTGATCTCGATTATCACAAGACAATTCAGAACCAGAGTCGGATATAAAAACATGATTGCACTCGTGACTCTTTCGTATGTACAACGCAACAATTCTCTTGTTCCTTTTTAGAAGACTTACCATCGATCTCGCAGATTTTTTTTTCAAAAATAGCATTTGCTAAATCTCTATAAATATAACTTCTTTCTATTTAAATGCATTATCTTTGTTAATATTTAAATTGCATCTACTCTTGACAAGTCTTTAAAAAAGTCCGTATCATCAATGTAATATTGTTTAATAAGAATTCGTGGAAAACTTAAGAAGTATTACCTCGTTGAACGCTGAAAATACTCCCGTATTTCCACCACTATCAGACTTTCTCAGCAGACGTATGCTTATCGAGGGACACGGTCTTCGGCTGATGGCTGTAGAGGAAAATGGAGCAGATTACGAGGAACGCGCCTAGAGTGAACTGGAACGATAGATGAAAGTCGAATAGGTAAACGGAGGCTATGCAGGAGATTATGATTGCCAGGGATGTGGCAAATCCTTTCAGTATGTTGTCAGCGTATTTGACCACCATGGCCACGATCAGCCCGCCGCCCGCTTGCAGGACTACCAGGTAGCAAATGAACAGGTCGTAACCGAAGAAGAAGCCCTGCTTGCGTATGACGCTGCCGTCGTGTAGGAAGCACGTGCCTAGGCCGAACGGTATGGACAGCACGCTCAGCTGCACGTTTCGCATCCACACGGAGATGTCAGAGCCCTTGAGTATCTTCTCAAAGTAAATTCCCGCGAAACCGGACAGGAAACATGCGCTCAGAGCGGCGGAGAAGCCCAACCAGTGGTTTTGTTCAATGCCCGAGGGCAGCGGCGCCTTCATGCTCTGCGCCAACTGCACCAGGACCACCCCTACGACCAGGAGCACGAGAGCGCCCCACTGAGTAGAGTGTAGGGATCTTCGTAGTATCGTCACCGCGAAGAAGGCGGTCGTCAAAATTTTCAACTGATACGTAACCTGGGAAATACATAAAACGCTAATTTCAAATACATATAGTATCCTTATAAATCTGCTGCGTACATTGATAAATATCCATTAATTTCTATTATTCCTCTACATATTTCAGAAGTGGACAAGGCGTTTAGCAGAACACATCTCACCTGATGCGTAGCCGCATCCAGATTGGACGCGGAGACATAAAGTAAATTGTTCTGAATAATATACAGCAGGGATGGCACGCAGACTTTCAAGGTGTCGATAGGCTGCTTCACGATTGTCGTGTGTAATGCTTTGTAAAATTTCTCAAAGTTTCCTTCTTCGACGTACACCAATACAAGGCAAGTAAGCAACTTGACTGCTTCAGCCATCACGACAGCTAGGAGAGAAATTATATAAAGAACATTATACAAATGATAAGGATCTTCCACGTTGGATCAAAATGGTAATAGCGATTGTAACGCGGTTTACCAGTGGAAGAGAGGAACATATCCCCTGCTCTGGTACGCGAGTATCGCATGCTGAGGCCAACCATGGCATTTTGAAGTGTCAGAGTAACCAGGCTCACGTACTTCAACGTTTGCCCAGTTCCTGCAATACACACATCTGCAGTGCTCATCTGCTCTCTGTCAGTTATATGTAACATTAATGGTATACCGACTTTGCGAAGTCTTGTTCATGTTGCTAAGGTCCTTCCAACTTTTTTCAGACAACTTGTAGGTACTTTTTCATAAGCTACATTTTTCTGGAATTACAAAAGATGTGTGTTAATTAAAACAAAATGTTTCATCTTCCTCTCCAGTCTCTCGCAAACGTACGCACAACACACGATTTGACTCCAAAGCCGTGAATAGATTGCCGTGTAAGATTCATCTAGGTACGGATTATTAATCACTATCGAGTGGTACAATCAATTGTTAAGAATGAAAGTAATAAGAAGCAGTGTACAATTCATAATCTGCAGAGGAAAAAGTAAACTAACGAGAGGCAGCAAGAAGTATCTCGCGATATACAAGTGTCTCACAATACGGAAAGTTGTTTTCAGTTTGTGACAAATGCAGTAAAGATGGAAAGTATTTTTCAATTACATACTGCATTCGTTTGTACACATGTCATATTGACATTTGTGACAATCAACTGCGCAGGTTTTGACAAACTACCTGGGGGATCAGGAGGCTTGTTGCGAGAATCTTAACGAGGAAACGTTAAAAGTTATAACGCGTGAAGCAGAAAGCAGCCGACTAGCTTTCGGAAAAGTGCTTATTGAAAGGTACGCACCTTTCCCGGAATTTTTTACACGTTGAACTGACACGTTGAACATTCGTACTTCGTAAGAATGCCTAGTTACTTTCCGATCAACGTCCCCGTGGATTGGCTTTGCCTTCCGTTGATTTCCGTTTGATTCCTAACCTATTCAAATGGTAAAATAGACTTGGAACTACGGCTGATGACAGACAACCATCCATAAAGGCTTTCACACATAAAATTCCGTAAGGACGTAAAACGTAAGCGTAAGGCCCGGTCTACAATGAGATGTTAGTCGTTAGGGTACTATTACATTTGTCGTACGACAAATTTTTCAAGCGTGTCGATTGGCCGCTGAATAGAAAGTTTCTAGATACTCGAGAATTTTACTATCCTTCAGCCAATCAATACGCTTAAAAACTTTGTCGTACGACAAATGTAATACCAGCCTAAGTCTACGGCTTACAGAAGTCCGTAAGCGCTTAAGGCCTTCACACATAACCCCTGGTCCACAATCTTGCTTTAAGTAAGTTGTAAGCCTTAAGCCGTAAGAAATTAACCAATCGCAGGCATTTATTCCCCTCACTCTCACCTGTGATTGGTTAATTTCTTACGGCTTAAGGCTTACAACTTACTTAAAGCAAGATTGTGGACCAGGGGTAAAATTCCGTAAGGACGTAAAACGTAAGCATAAGAAAATCGACCAATCACAGTCGAGAACGTAAGGCAATGACGCAAGCAGATCCTTTTCCTTTCTGGGTAGAAGAAAAAGGACCGACATATAGGCCTAGTTTACATCGATCACTTGGTACGCGTATCAAATAGTAAATAACTAGTAAATCAGTTTAATAATTGGCTGATCAGCTCAAATACACTACTTGATACGCGTATCAAGTGCACGATGTAAACTAGGCCATAGTTCCGACTTCTGA